AACATACAAAGCAAACTGAGAGTATTTGTTAACCGCTGTCTCCGCAAAATTTTACGTATCTTCTGGCCAAACAGAATGTCAATTCAACGGTCAACGTCAATGAAATAAACACCATTTTGCAGCCCCTAGGAAGAAACATAAGCAATATTACAGACATAAAGGACGTAGCGTTACGCCGCGAAAGATGGAAGCGGCTTATAGACAGCCTATGCCCAGTATAAGAGGCTGCTCAAAATCATAGATGTCGAGCAAGGCGTATTATTATTATTATTAAAGTGAATGTTAAAGTATAGTTTAATGTATTGTCATCAGTCAAAGTTCATTTCCAAGATTTTAATCTTCTTTCTATTCTCAGTCAATATTAAAAAATTGATGAAAATATATCTGGAGTTACTTTGGAGAAATTATGTAATCATTTTTGGTATTTAAGCTCAGAGCTTGTTCGTTTTGCTTTTTTGGATTTAAATACAAAAACAAAGATGGTTTCGAATTTGAATATAGACAAGGAAGTCAGGAGAGTATCAATAGATCGCACAAAAATAACTGAAATCGCCGAAAAGAAAATTGAACAGTTTGTATACAAACATACTAAAAACATTTTTAATCGTTTCAAGTTGTGCGATGAGTTCATGAAAATATGTCCCATAAAATGGCATGAAGAACTTAGTTTTATTCAAGTCAAGAAAACTCTTTTAAGCTTAAAAGTAGTTAATGATACGACAGAGCGAGGAGTGAAACTTATGCTGGACTTTAAGTCAATTTTACCAATAATGTGATCCGAAAACAGTACATATTAAAAGTTGTTAACGATTACCGTCGTCGTTTTCCAAATTGTAATAAGGATACTTTGCTCCAGCTACTTTAACTTAAATAATAAAAATGATGTCAGAGAAACCTAGAATTAGTTCTTTTTTATTATTAGAAATATTAAATTTTAAACATATTGAATTTATTTTAAATTTTTTAGAAATATTAAATTTTTTGTAAAGCTGAAGCGGACAATTACATTCATAGTACTTGCAAAGCTAGCAATCGAGTGACTTCAGCTTATATTTTCTTTTACACAATAGTTATTAGAAATACAGAAAAACTTTGTATGTTTCTCTGTTTCTATGTTTCTATGTAAAATTTAATATGTCGGAGATATAAGCAACCAAAGATGAATTTTATGGAAAAAATCGTTATTTTCTAATTTTGGGACACCATTTCCACTTATCCAATTGAACTAAAATTTTACACAGATTATTTTTTTAGTAAAATGAGCCGATCTAGGGAGTGCTAGGGAGTGTCGAAAAAAAAAAAATGCCCATATACCTTAATGGCACCCTAATGTATACATTTTAACCGGTGGTTGACCACGAATTTTTAAAGTAGTGTATACAGGACCACAAAAATCGACACCGCTAATTAAGAAAGGTCGTAGTACTTTTAACTGATCCGCACGCAAGTTTCCCATTATTTGTGTCACCAGCATAAGTCTGTATCGAAAACCATTTTTGACTGTATAAATGAATGAAACTAGTTTTTGTATGGTAGCTGATAATTTAAGTGACTTCTTCATTCTTTGGATTTTATCCCTTAATTCATGATTTTGAATTTTTAAGAAAGCCCAATTTAGTTCCTTTGTGGTCGGATTAAAAACGACAGCTCTCTCGTTTTTAGATACGAAAAGTAGAATATAAGCGAAAATTCTTAAAAGTCTTGTATAAGATTAGAAGTTACAGCCTAAATTTGCAATGATGTTGGATTCACTTTTATAAGCCATAAGTCCTACCTTGACTTTTCGTTGTTCCAAACTTTTTTTATCTGTTGATAATGGAAAATGAATATTTTTGACCAGTTAATCGCATCTTGAAGCAGGAGGACCTTTGAATCATATGGAGCTATTAAGCTCGTTAATAGTACAACCTCTGGAAATTATGTATACTGAATTTTGTTTTGACGGAGCGTGCCTCCATAATACGTCATATGACTATTCTTGAATTTCTGATACTTTATTTGTCACAAATGTTATGAGTGTAGACGGATGACTCTTGATCCAATATAATATAACTTCTGAATCAGTCCAAAAATTTGCATTCTTGACATCACAAGTCATGAGTGACTGTACTCGAGTCAATAGTTTAGCCAGAAGGTGGATTGCACATAATTCGCATCTGGATAAAGACTTTGTACTGAGCGGAGCGTCCCTTGATTTAGCAGTTAGTAGCGCAATAATCCATGTTAAATTTTTGTAAAACGGAGTCTTTCCATTTTTTGCTATTTAGAATGATAGTACTAGAGAACTAGAATCATACTTAAAAGAGAGTCTAACTTTGAAGCGTCTTGATAAATATTATCATGCAAAGTTATTGCTAAACTGTGTTTTTTTAACCTTAATCTTCTTAGAAATGTCTTCAAATTCCCATTTTTGGACATGAGAGTTTAGAGAGCAGTCATCTGTCAATTTTTCGTTATGCAAGCTTATTAGGTTACAAATCTAATTTTGGGATTTTCGGTATGTTTAAATGTTTCAGATACAATCCATTCAAGTAACGTTTTCTGAAGCGTTGGAAGATTAGTACTTTATGTTTTTTATCCAATCGACAACAGTTCGAAAAAGGACTAAACTCTTTGACATTGACCAACATTATAAGAAAGTATTAAATGTACCGGCAGAGAAATCATTTAGTAGTATCTATGGAGTATTGAATAGCCTCAAACGACAAGAGTATTAGTTGGTTTCATTAACTTGGTTATGAGGTAAAAATGCATAATTATGGTTAAAATTATGGCTAGAAAGGTGTTTGAATCGGTTCTCCTTATTGGAAAACACAGTCTAAGAAATCCGTATTTTGGAGGGACGACTATGTGATTTGAAGATGTTCGGTACTACCTGGTATTACCTGACGCGACAAGAATATTAGTTGGTTTCGCTAACTTAGTTATGTCGCAAAAATACATACTTATGGTCCGGTTAGAAAGATGTTTGAATCGGTACGCCTTAGTGGAAAACGTAGTCAAAAACATCCGTATTTTTGGAGGGACGACTATGTGATTAAAATGTATTCGGTACTACCTGGATTACCTAAAACGACAGGAGTATTACTTGGTTTCGTTAACTTGGTTATGTCGTAAATATACACAATTATGGTTCGGCTAAAAAGGGGTTTGAATCGGTACTCTTTAGAAGAAAACGCAGTCAAAGACATCTGTATTTTAAGAGGGACGATTATGTAATATAGGTGTTCGGTACTACCAACTATCGACAGCAAGTCGCTGAGCAGTATGATTGTTAGAAGTAACTTGTTGCATTCAAGGATAATATAGTAATAAATAAATGATTATGCGAAAGGGCATCAACTTCGTAAAGTAATTTAATACAATGCGGTGAAGAGCAAATAACGGAATAAGTACATTCATGTGACAGTTAAATTGTTACTGGGCATTGTTTTGCAAAATCGCCAATGATTCTTAATAACAACAATGATATCCGCCTTGATATAAGACAAAGAATAATTGTTATCAATAAGTTTTACTATGGTATCTTTCAGTATCTGGAATTCATCTCAGAATCAGGGACAATATCATAGAATCATAAAGTACCATGGGAGGCTTTTCATTAGATAATTAGTCTTTAAGACACTGGCGACGACTAACGCAAACGTTAGTTCATGTTGTTGATGTTTTATCACGACATTATTGTTGTTTATGTAGATTGAAGACAATATTCCAGCGAAAAAAAAAAGATGCAGAGAATATTGTAAAATAATACAATACAATATCAATATCAAAGCAATATACACCCAAATCTTTTTTTACACGGTTTCTTTTTACACGGATTTGAAGTTACACGGTTGAAAAAAAAAATTTTATTGGAAAAAATTTTTAATCTAGTACGGTTTCAAAATCACTGTCTTGTTTAACACTTGGCATTTTTTTTACATGGTTTTCTTTACACGGATTTCTGAGGAACGTATCTACCGTGTAAAAAAAGAGTTGGGTGTACTATTACATAATTTTTTTTATTTTCTCGTTTACAAACTATAAAAGAACAATACAATTTGTTAGTGTAAACTTGTGATGTATAGCTCGGATTGCTTATTTGTTTTTCTTTTGCTTGTTGCTATATAAATATAGTAGGGCCGTATTCGCCCATGCTCACTGATAAGGTTTGGTGAGTATAAAAATTATTCTTCTAGATATATTCGTGGTGTATAGTCACAAATAATTTTTAAAGTTTGTATAATCAAGCAGAATTATGTCAACACACACGAGGATCACTTTTCAAAAAATAAAAACAACATTTTTAATGTCGATTTTTGTTTTTTAATATTTTAACTTTTACTTCGCACTTAGTATTTTGTGTATTTATACACGTGTTTCGGCAAATTCGCTTTTCCCTTAATCAGAAGAATTCCTAATATATTAGGAATTCACCTGATAAAGGCAAAGGCGAATCATGTGTAGAGATACGTGTGTTTCGCCGAAATAAAAGGTAAATTCGCCGAAATAAAAGTTAAAATATTAAAAAAACAAAAACCGACCCTAAAATATTTTCGAAGCAACAACTCAAAAAATTTAAAACAAAATCAACATTTTTAATATTTTTATACAACATATTTTTCTATTATGTATTATTAATTGAATTAACATCAACTTTGATGTGTTTTGTTTTTACAAATACTTATACTAATATTTTGTAAATTATGGTAATATAATAAGTTGCATTAATAAATGTTTTTATAGCTTTCTCTAAGAATAAGTTTTGGGCTTAAGTCGTTTATTTGACACATAAAAATTATAAAAAAAATTATACTTATAAAATTGTGTTAAAATTTTTTATTATATTTTTAATATATATTTATAATACAGATATTTCAGTCTAATTCTTCAGGAATTAGAAACTTACATTGTTTAGCGAACTAATAAAGAAAGTAGCTACATATTTTTCTCAAAAAGTATTTCGTCGAACTTTACATTACTTACTTTACATTGAATTCTTTTGCAATTATAGTTTCTTTTTTGTCGTGTTTTAGTTCAAATGTACATATAATATTATTATTATATTATCAATAATATAACTGCTTTTTAAGTTTTTCATGAAGTATACACCTGTTTTGTGCATAATGATTCTTACATCAAAGAGATGCGTCTGAAATTTTTGATTATGTTATATTTACCTCTTATCAGTTCCGCTTTGGCAAATTTTGCAATAGACGATGATTCTTTGAAATATAATTCTTCGAATTATATATCTGATCCGATAACAAATGAAAATAGAACAAGTAGATTTTTGTTTGATGCAATATTTCGTATAAGTTCAGGAATATCAAATGTTTTTGGATATCAAACAGATGAGGATAACGATTATAGTGAAGATATTGATGTGAAAAGCTGTGACTGTGGTAAGCTTTTTAAATAACATTATAGTAATAAAGTGTTAAACAAAATTTTGAATAGTAAAAATAATGAAGATATAACAAATTTTAAAAATAAATAAATTTTTAATTTCGAGCAAAACTTCGCAACTTTCACATTTTTAGTTAGGTTAGAATCGACACAAAATATAGAAATTCAATAATTTTACTAAATTTATTTTACACTTCTAATAAATTTAATAAAAAAATGTTTAATAATATCTTTGCAGTCTACATTTCTTAATTATTTTGTTTTTGAATTTAAGTTGTGAAAATTTTAAAATGAAAATTTTGGGTAATGTTTACCACAAATATCATTCATATACACATACATATTAAGATTGATAACCTCAACAATAGCCTTGTATTGAAACAAAACAATGTCGAAACTGTTTTGATTCAGTGTTAATGTTCACAGTGACTTCTTGGGCTGGGACAACATTGTTTCAATAGAACCCCTGTTTGTACGAAAGCTCTATTTAGTTCTCCAGATAAGACTTAATATTTTTATTAACAAATAGTCGTACGACAGGCAGATCCCTAGATTCATTCGTTTGTTTAAACTGATAAAACATATTTGTAAGTATATAAAGATGTCCGCTGTCTTCCAATATTTCCAGTTACAAGTATTTCGATATAGTAACACGTTCTATATTCTACATACCATACAATGTGAATGGTATTATAAAGTATAATATATGGTAATATGTTAAGTAAATTGACAAATCATATTTTAACATTTGTGAGTACATTTACTATACATAGGTAACTGATTTTCAAGTAATTTATAAACAAGTCTCAACAATTTAAAATACAACAAATTCCCATGTATTAAACAATATACGTAAAAATAAAATAAACAAACGAGGTTTTGTATTTGACGTTTTGTATTTAAAACCGAATGTTTTCCAACAAGAAGTATTAACATATAATAGTTCTTCAAATATCAATAATTAAATAAATGTAATTATGAATATATAAGTCAGGATAGGTTGGCGTGGTGGCCTTGTGCCCAAAATCCCCTTAAGCTCAAATATGGCTCGTTTCGCTGAAGGTGAAAGAGAACTCACATACCAAGTCCCTAAGTAACAACTTGGTCAAGTCCCTAATTTTACAAGATAACGATTCTGTCAGCTCTGTAAGCCAATGATGGACACTGACACATGAGGTGGAGTACAGTGTGCACATCATCTGTAGAACCACAGCACCTACAAAGTCATTATTAAATAGACTCAATCTCATAGCATGTCTTCTTAATACGCAGTTACCTGTGCACACTGATACCATAGTTCTGAGCAGGTTACGCCTTAGATGAAGCAGCTGGTACATTCGTTGTCCAGTTTTATCCACCAGATCTTGAAATCTGACTGAAGTATTCTTTTATACAACTTTTTTTAGCTATATTTAGATTATAGCTAAATATATTTTGATATATTTAAAACATTTGTCACTAATTTAACTTGCTGTTTTACCAGAAGCCAAGAAGGCAGCCAATGTACCAAAGCAACTTTCGTGGGGTTGGAAAGTAGAACTGCAGTGATTTGCAAGATAGCTAACCTTTTGGTGTCGCTCAACTTTTCAGTTCCACGACACCAAAAGACAGGTCTGTGAAAAAGGATTGATTCAATGATTAACTGTGATTCAAGAATGAATATGTAACATTTATACATTATTGGAGTATATTGGAATTTAAATTAAATTAATGAAAGCAACATAAACAAGCAAATAAAAACTCATCAATTATGCAAAACGAATGGTCTTAATCATGCTTACATGGACGACAAGAGCTTTTTGTGTTTGTTTGTAGATGATATTTTTTTTAAATTATTGTCTTATTAATGTTATTACAATAAGGATGTATAAAAACTGCACGGCAAATATATAAACAGAATACGAATTCAGCAATAACTTATATCAACTAAATATATATATATGTAGGTATAGTTGAAATAATAGTTAATATAATAATAGTTGTTTATATAATAGTTCAATTTGTATTATTCAGTTAAAAAGGCTGTTGTCGGTTATCAATCAAATTTGGTCATACCGAAAAGAGTTTAGGATTTGTTTATTTATTTAGATCAAAAGAAACAGGTAGGGGCGTTATTTCGATTACTGATATAAGTAGTTATACTTAATAGATGTCTTTCTTACTGTCTTTTTCACTACAATGGAAAAATATTAAAAATTCTTAATAACATTATTTCACTCTGAATGAAACTTCAAGAAAAGATTTAAATCTAAATAATTTTCTAGCAATGGAATTATTTTTTGCTAAATAATTTTATAACAGAATTTTAAAATAAGATCAATTACAATAAATTTATAAAATTAGAGAAAACTAATCTTAATTTATTTTTGATAATCTTTTTAGATTGTGGATTGTCGAATGAAGAAATAAGAATAGTTGGTGGTAAGCCAACTGGTGTAAATCAGTATCCTTGGATGGCACGAATTGTTTATGATGGAAAATTTCACTGTGGTGGGTCTCTCCTAACTAAAGATTATGTATTAACTGCAGCACATTGTGTTAAAAAACTTCGAAAATCAAAAATTAGAATTGTTTTTGGAGATCACGATCAATTAATTACGTCAGAAACAAAAGCAATTCAAAGGGCTGTGACTTCAATAGTTAAACACAGAAATTTTGATCCGGACACATACAACAACGATATAGCATTGCTTAGATTAAGGAAACCGATTATTTTTTCTAAAATAATTAAACCTGTGTGTCTTCCACGTTACAATTATGATCCTGCAGGTAAATGAATCATTCTAAGTATTTTAATATTTTGATAACAATTGCTTTCAAAAAAAAAATTTTTTTTTCAATTTATATATGCATTTACAAAACACAAATAAGTATGTTATTATTTTAAAAGTTTTAAGATTCGAATCATGTTCGGTAAAAACTATTTACTTTTAGTTCGATATAGCTTTAAAATAAACTATTTCAGAATATCCGAATGAAAAAACACTGCAGTATGTTTGAGTAAACACCATTTTATCAACGCGAATGAGAAGATAAATCTTGTCCACTTTAACTAAAAAATGCATAACTGATTTTAGATTTGTAATTCCAACCATTTTGAGATAATATAGAAGTATTATATGAAATAAAGACCAAGTTTATTTGTAGATATACTCGTAACATCATGGTTAAAAGTTTTTATTAAATTTTATAATGTGTATTTTTTAGGTCGCGTTGGCACAGTTGTTGGATGGGGACGAACATCTGAGGGAGGTGAATTACCATCAATCGTTAATCAAGTTAAAGTACCTATTATGTCAATAACAGAATGTAGAAATCAAAAATATAAAAGCACACGAATCACAACAAGTATGCTTTGTGCAGGTAGACCTAGTATGGATTCCTGTCAAGGTGACAGTGGTGGCCCATTACTATTATCAAACGGCATTAAATATTTCATTGTTGGAGTAGTATCATGGGGAGTTGGCTGTGGAAGAGATGGTTATCCTGGAGTATATACCAGAGTGAGCAAATTTGTTCCGTGGATTAAATCCAATTTAGCGAATACATGCTTGTGCTCATAGAAATATTATTACACAAATAGTATACAATCATTCAAGTTTTAATAATGTTATAAAATATTATGTTACATAATATCTTGTATAATAAATAAATATACATCAGAGAGTAAAACTCTTCCTTTTAAATGTTTTTTTTTTACTTTACGCATAGTGAAGAATAAATTAAAATTTACTTAAATTATTATTGTATTCCGGAAAGATATTGAGATGAGCGTGAAACCATCTAAAAGAAAAATGAAAACAATAATTTAATTATTATTCTTTTATTTACTTTTTATTTTGTTAATATTTCGAGAATCAGCGCTAATTTGAAAATTTCAAATATGTATTTAAACAATTTTTATTTAGTGTACGTATAAAATTTAAAAATATAAAATTGAACAGGTTTCGAACAGTATTGAAGTGCATCAACAAAATTTTTTATTTATTTTTAATAAATTGAACTCTTTGTTGACACCTGTTTCAAGTATTGCCAAATACCCATCATCAATAAGATGAAAAATTCATAATATATATATATATATATATATATATATATATATTTGAAAACATAAGTGAATATAAAATATTAACTTCTTTAGCTTAGCCAATAGAGTCAAGAAATTTCATCTGTAAATTCAAAGAACAATAGCTACTAACATAATCACACAAAGGGAATGCATTTTGTTGTGCAATTTATTTTTGCTTTGTGAAAAAAAAATTTATACTTACAGCATTTTATTTTTACATTAAAAAATATAATAGTTATTTTTGCGTTTTTTTTTATTTCTAACCCAAGCGTTTTTTTTCTAGCTTAAGAATAATAGTTTTTTTTTTTGTAAAAAGCAAATAACTTTTATTTCTGAAAAATATAATATAAGCAAACTTAACTATTATTGTTTGTATTATCTTAAAATGAAAAAAATAAGACATAGACATTGAAAAATAAATGTTACAGTCTATACTATTGGTCGTTAAACAAACACTGATTGTGTTTATTTATTGTTCGAACAACAATATTGGGACAACAATTTTTTGCTTCAGATTTTTTATATCAGTGCGGTTTATTTTTTTACTTTGTAAATATATAAACAAATAAATTGGTTTCATCTGTATAGTGAAAACTTGGAAGTAACTCCATCCACAAAAAATTTTTTTTTGACATTATATTGAAGATATTTATTGAAGATATGTAATTTCAATACAAAGGTACCACAGCCATATACAAAATCCTGTTTGAGATTTGTTTAACATGAAGTTTCCCGATCCTGTAAAATTATGATGGGATGATGTTCCAACTATGTGTCAACAAGTTATGGAAAATTACCGTACAATTATTACCGTTATAATTAATTTTGTAATATATTAGCGAGATATCTGTAAACATTAGAGTGTTATAATCCTTTTTTGGTAATATAGTATTGTATGTACAAATATGAACAAATGAAATGAACAAATATGTAAATATTGACTTTGCAGAATTTGTATAAATGAGAGTATTTGATAAATAATTATTAATAAATTAGTAACAATTAATTTTATACTGAAATTTTGAAATTTTAAAAAATTTTATAACATCTCAATATGTCAATAAGTTCCAAATTTAAAATAACTTATGGATTCAAACATTGTATTTACTAAAATTGAAGTATATGCAAAGTTATATCGATGTAAACCATGTAAATTTCCATTAGATTTTACACAACCTATTTATTAAACATGCATAAGCTGTAAATATTTCAAATTAAATACTTTTACTGTTAACAGAGAACATTTGTTTTCGTTGACGAAATGCATATACCTTTTCGTTATGGTGTAAAGGGCATAATTGTCAGCCTATATTCATTCAATTCAATTAAGAACGTTTTTTATTTAAAAATATACTATTGGAACTTTTTTATACAATGTATTTTGCATGTATCTGTTTATAAATAGTATACATTCTTTGCGTTAATGAACTTTAATTTTTAAATTTTCATTAAAAATGTCTTGCATTGTAAATATTTTGATTAAATAAACACAGTAGCGGCTCATGTCTCATTATACATATTTACGTAATATAATATATTACTATCATATGAAATTAAATAAAAGGTAATATGTTATTTCACACATTCCAAAACTGTAATATTACAAAAAAAAAATTGAGTTTTATTTCAATAAAAAGCAATATTAATGTTATCCATTTTTTGTATCCAAAAGGAAACGTAAATAAAATATACTTGTAATTTAAATCAAACTTTGATCAAACTTTTGTTTCAATATATTGTTTTTACTGTACTGGTTCCGTTTGAGGAGTTTTTGGATTATTTTTTTGTCGGAACAAAGCTCGCAGTGGCTTCGGTCAAAACTTAGCGAATGCGTTACTTCACAAAAATAAGTCTAGTTGATGACAAATCGCATGTCCTTGATAGCCAATTCACAATACTAAAACGTGAAGTTGCATACCCGGGAAAGTTCTTGCACAACAAAGTCATAATACAACGTGTTGTAATTATGATATGGTGCCATACCATCTTATTAAAACCACATACCTTCCACATCCACATTTTCAATTTCACACAGAAAAATTATGAATCATTTAGCTATAGCAATTTAGTTTTATCGTTCGTGCCAGACCTTCGTCATTTTCAAAACAGTACAGACTCATCACACTTCCAGACCAAACACCATTCAGTGTTATACAGTGTTAACTTTTTGTGAATGCAATAGTATTTCGACAGTTAGTTTTGGATTAACACTACCCCAGGTGCGACAATTTAGTTTGTTAACATATCTATCAAACGAAAAATAAGTTAGATTATTGAAGAAAATTCGATGCCAGCAATTGTAAAGCAAAGGCTATTACTCGTGTATCCTATGCCCTACGCTTTGAGTGATCCGTGTTATAAAATGACAAACCTAAGAATAAAAAATGATATCCTGGATGTCCAACTCAAAGCTCCGATCATTTTTATTATACATATATTTTCCCTAATATATTCCTCAAACTATAATTGCTAGAAATGCGCTATAGTTAAATAAACAGACTGATGTTGTATGCTAATATTAGCTGCATTTATATGACTTTATCATTATAATTACATTTGTCGAAGAAGTTATGTGTGCGCTAAAATTTTTAGCTCTACTCGCCATACATTTTTATAATTTTTCGTATTTCTCCGATGGAACCCACCAATTTTCGTTAATAGGTGTGCGATATAGTTTGCCGCACATTCTTAGGCTGTAAATTTAAACAGGTTTGTTGTATATTTTTTTTTATATGAAAAAAATTTGTTTCATGTCAGAAATATGTGCAAAGTCTTATTTATTTATTGTTTAAAAATTTAATAATATATATAGAATTAAAAAAACTAAATAGACACATATACCATATATATATGTTTATAGATTTATATCTAAAAAATATTCCTTCAGAATTTAAATTTAAATGAGCTCAAATTTATAATACTAATTAAAAGTATTATAAGTTTAATAATTAACTTTTACAATAATCTATAGTAACGGAGTGAATTTATATTTATAATACTATTTTTGTTTAGTATAATTGACGAATGAATAGGAAATATGTATAAAAAACCGTCATAAAAAATAATTATACAAGATAAGCAGCTTTCATTTAATATGTTGTAATCCAATTAATTAATCCAGGGCTGACCACACCTGTTTCGATCGCGGACCAATACAATTTACTGTACAGATTGGAGGGCCGCAAAAACAAATCCATACGTTCATAGTTGTTTTCGACAAAAATAAAAATACAGTTATAATGTTAAATTTAATTTTATTTTTTTTAATTTATTAATTTAACTTCATTTATTTAGTATACCACAAAAATAATATAATGTACTTTTACTGTTACACCAAAAAAAAATTTGCGTAATTGTAGTAGATTAAAAACATATCTGAGGCTGCACAAACATTAGTCGCAGGCCGTACTTTGGAATCTATCTAATATGTTATATAGTTAATATGTTGTTCAATTATATTTAATTGTTTCTATATTGTTATATAGAATTTAGTAAATAAGTAAATACTCAGTAAAAAAGTTTTACAATTTACTAAATACATGTATAAAGAACAATATAGAAAAGGCACACAATCTTTCAGTTATTCTTTAAGCAAGATCTCAGAAAAAGTAAAAATTATTATAAAATTTAAATAATTTCTTTACTTTTAGCTATATCTTAGAAATTTCAAACTGCAAAAGAGTTTAATATATAATACACCAATAAATGGTTTACAGTTAAGCAATAAATTGAAGTCAAGAATTTTCAAGTGGCCTCCCATAATATTTTGATGTTTACCTTATACTTATTGTATTAGTGTTCAATCTTTTCTTTAACAGGGGCTCGTAAAGCTAATGTCGTTAATGTCACTGTTGGATTAGCGCCGCCTCTGAATAAACATTAATGTGATTAAAAGAAGTACATATTTTAGATTTAATGAGTATTTCTGTAAGTAACAGAAACATATTTAAATCATTTGTAATTAACATAGAGTTAACATACAAATCATTAACACATTAATTTAACATAAAATTTAAATGCATTTGCAGTTAACATAGGTAGACTTAACATACAGTTCATTAACACTTTGTTACCGTTTATGTACCTTTTAATAATATACCTTTTAATGAACATAAACAAATTTTTAAACGTATTTTTATATATTGCATATAAAGTATATGGGAGTTGAATAATGTGCATTATATTGTTGTATATTCTTATATGTATCATTTAAAAACATATTGGACGTGAACAGCTCATTAATTCAGAAGTTTGACATATATACCCTTTGATCTTAACATTTTATTGTACAGAAAAGTAAAACATCATGGATATATGGTGGAACATAGTCTCTTTTGAATGAATAAGGTGAATGACTAACTATAAATTTAAATTCATTTCTGTACGTATAAATTACCTTTGCTATTTCTACTTGAACTTCTATTGAATTATTAGACACGATTTTTATATATAAGAAACAATATTATTCTTAGTTCATTTAAATATATGTATATAATTTCGAATCAACAAGTTATAAAAGAAGCTTTATTTGCATTTATAAAATTATTTGCAATTGAATAAGCAAATCGATAAAGTCAATTCTTATATTGGATTCGCCTGGATATTGAATTCCGCGGTTCACATGTATATAACGCTTTGCATATCGAATTTATGAAGGATATTAAGTGAAAGTGAACATTAAAGTGAAAATAAAAAAATAAATTTATCAGTTACTTAAATTTTTTATAAACAATGGCATCGCATAAGTTTAATAAAAAATACTCGAGAGTATTTCCGGAAACGGATGGTGATGATATTGTTATTAGTGGAATTGCTGGAAAGTTTCCTAATTCTCATAATACATCTGAATTCAGATACAACTTATATAATAAGGTATATGATTTTTACTCAATAAATTAAAACCTTTTGATTTGTAATACAGCGGATAAACCGCAAACGCGAAATCATATAACGCAACGTAAATTCAAAATAAAAACATGACAGAAATTACTCAATAATGTCCTAATGTACATTATTTTTTTACTGTAAGCAAGAAAATGATTTGTAATTAATTTATAATAAATTCTTCTTCAATCAATAATAATTTGAATGATACTGAACCATTTTTTTTTATGAAAATCTACAGTGCAGTGAGTTTCTTTTATTGATTGTAACGGTTATCATTTATTTATTATAACATAAAATACTCATATATTATATTCAAAAATAACTATCAAATTATTATTCAGTTATGTACGTATCTGGCAAATTATCACAAAGGATCACTTTCGACTGTTCATAGAATACAATTTATATCTTTTATTTCAAATTTAGATTGATATGGTTGATGATGATGAACGCAGATGGAGGCATTTTAATTCAGAAATTCCAAAACGCTCTGGGAAAATTTATGAATTGTCCAAATTCGATGCGACATTTTTTGGAGTTCATTTCAAGCAATCACACACAATGGATCCGCAAACTCGAATTATAATTGAGACTGCATATGAAGCAGTTATTGATGCAGGTATATGTCCAAAATCTTTACGCGGTACTAAAACTGGAGTTTATGTTGGATCTTGTATTTCGGAATCTGAAAAAACTTGGTTTTATGAAAAGGTGCCTTCAGGTGGATTTGGAATTACTGGTTGCAGTCGCGCAATGATGGCAAATCGAATATCCTATTCACTTGGGTTGCAAGGACCATCATATTTATTGGATACTGCTTGTTCAAGTTCAATGTACGCTTTAGACAATGCTTTTAGTGCTATACGAAATGGTGAAATTGATGCAGCAATAATTGGTGGTGCAAATTTGTCACTTCATCCTAATGTAACACTTCAGTTTGCTCGGTATGTAATAATAATACGTAATATTATAAATAAACGAATTCAAAATTAATATATTTGTTAAATATTTAAAACTTTTCAATAACTTTACTATTTCAGGCTTGGCGTTCTTGCAGCCGATGGATATTGTCGTCCATTTGATAAAAATGCTTGTGGGTATACCCGATCTGAAGCTATATCATGCATGCTTTTACAACGCAAAAGAGATGCAAAACGAATATATGCCAGTGTACTATTGTCAAAAACGAATTGTGATGGCTATAAACCTGAAGGCATTACTTATCCTTCCGGAAAATTACAGGAACAATTACTTAGTGAATTTTATAAAGAAATTGATATCACACCTGATCAATTAGGATATTTGGAAGCTCATAGTACTGGCACTGTTGTTGGAGATCCCGAAGAATGTCGAGCAGTTGATAGCGTATTGTGTAGTAAACGTAATAAGCCACTACTTGTGGGTTCAATTAAATCAAATATTGGTCACTCTGAAGCAGCTTCAGGTATATGTTCCTTAATAAAAGCTTGTTTTGCATTTGAAACTGGAAAAATTTCACCTAATCTTAATTTTGAAGAAGTAAAACCTGAAATTCCAGCATTAGCTGAAGGCCGATTAAAAGTTGTAAATGATCTAACGGAACTAGAGCAGCCATACATTGGAGTAAACTCATTTGGCTTTGGCGGTGCCAATGCGCATGCACTTCTGAAAGCACATGAAAAACAAAAAATTAATTTTGGACTGCCAGATGATAACCTACCTCGCTTGGTGACCTGGGCTGGTCGAACAGAAGATGCCGTAAATGTGGTGTTTGATGAGGTGGGAAAAAAATCATTGGATGCAGAATTTATTGCTCTACTACAAAACACTCAAAAAGATGAAGTGCCTGGAATGGTTTTCAGAGGATATGGAATCTTTAAAAAAAATGATTCCGAGCCGGCTATTACTCTTGCAAGAGATGTACAACACTTTACAGGCATTAAGCGACCCATTGTATGGGTTTTCAGTGGTATGGGCTCGCAATGGAATGAAATGGGAACATCTTTAATGAATATTCCTTTGTTTAAGGGAACTATAGAAAAGTGTCACGAAATTCTATTAGCAAAAAATATAAATCTTATAAATATACTAACGTCTAAAGATCCTCACATATTTGATAATATTTTACACTCATTTGTTGGAATAGCAGCAATTCAGATTGCGATTGTAAATTTATTACATGAATTAACTCTTAAACCTGATTACATTATTGGGCACTCAGTTGGAGAATTAGGTTGCGGTTATGCAGACGGCGGCTTTACACTCGAACAAATGATTCTTGCAGCATATTACCGTGGTAAAGTTAGCTTAGATGTAGAAAAAATTAAGGGTTCTATGGCAGCTATAGGCATTGGATATAAAAAAATTATTAAACTCTTACCAAAAACTATTGAGGTAGCATGTCATAATAACGCAGACTCTTGTACAATATCTGGTCCTACTGAAGATGTAACGCAATTTATATCAGAACTAAAAAATATGGGTATATTCGCTAAGGAAGTACCTTGTTCAAATATTGCTTATCATTCACGATACATATCACATATGGGACCACAATTATTAACATATTTAAAAGAAATTATACCGATTCCAAAGAATAGATCTAATAAATGGTTAAGTACAAGTGTACCTAAAACAGACTGGGAGAAATTTGAACATAATCTTTGCTCTGCTGAATACCACACAAACAATTTATTAAGCAGCGTTTTATTTGAAGAGACTCTATCATTATTACCAAATAATGTTTTAACTATCGAAATAGCACCACATGGCTTACTACAATCAATACTTAGACAGTCCATTTCTAGCGGAGTTCACATTCCATTAACTAATCGGAACAATATTCATAATGAATTGTTCCTTTTGACAAGCTTGGGAAAGTAATATAACATATAACTCTAATTAATATACAAATATTAATTTTAAATGATTTTTAGATTATTTAATAATGGCATCACATTTCCACTTGATAAGCTTTATCCAAAAATTGAATTTCCAGTATCACGGGATACAGCTAGTATAAGCTCGCTTATAAAATGGGATCATAGTGAAGATTGGTTTGTAACAAGATACGAGAATATGAAAACGAGAGCCAGTGGAGAACGCATTTTAAAAGTTAATATAGGAAGTGATGACGATGAATATATTAGCGGTCATGTTATTGATGGAAAAGTTTTGATACCAGCAACTTGTTATTTGCAATATGTTTGGCAAACGTTTTCCCTTATGTACCATGGTCCCAGTTATATGGATATACCAGTTGAGTTTGATGATATAAGATTTTTGAGAGCAACAAGTATAAGTAAAAACAGTAACATTGAGTTAACGATTATGATTCATTATGGAACAGGCAATTTTGAAGTGAGTAATATTTATACATTTTTAAATTAATTATGGTATTCGTTACCAGACACTGATAATTAAAAAGTTCAATTTTTTTTTAAATTTGAGCGTAAATATTTCAAAAGGTGTAAATCTATATACATAATATGGTAAATATGCTATGGTAAATCATCCTCATTAGTGATTATAATGAACAAAACTACCTAAATGAATATTTAAGCGATTATGTTTCTCATCAAAAGTCAGCAAACTCTGCACCTAAAGCACGGAGAGTTTTTTCATGACATCACATTTCTTGTTGTTTTTTGTAATCGTCATCTATATTTTTATTGTTTAAAATTTTTTTTGAATTTAAAGTTAAAACAGAATCGTGAAAATTTAAGTGCACTGTATATACTGAATTAATATTTTTGAAAAGTTTAAAGAAAGCATCTTCGCATCAATATACTACAAGTTAAATACGAGCAGAAATAATATGGATAGCTAATAAAATAGCATAAACATACTTTCATTTTCACACTTTGAACTACATATTGATAAAATTAAATTACGAATAATTGCAGATTACGGAATCTGGAACTTTAGTTGTAACTGGCAGAATCACTGAAATTGAAAATCCAGTTCCACCAGTACGATACAACTTTAAGGAAAACAGTGAATTTCCAATAATATCAAAGAAGGACTTCTACAAAGAATTAAAACTACGCGGATATCACTACAATGGTACTTTCAAAGCAGTTCATTCTGCGAGATGTGATGGATTATATGGAAATATAGAGTGGGACTATAATTGGGTAACATTTATGGATGCCATGTTGCAAATCCAAATTTTGGGCGTTGACTGTCGGTCATTATTAGTTCCAACAAAAATACGTAAATTACGTATTTTCGGATTACATCACTTTGATGTTATGAGTAAAATGGATCCCGAAAATAAAGTACTTGAAGTATTTATAGATCAATATAGTAATCGCATAATATCTGGTGGAATTGAAATAATTGGAGTTGAAGCTAATGAGATTCAAAGGCGCAGACCTACAGGAAATCCAGTCTTAGAAATATGTCGTTTTGTTCCACAATTTCCGACTCCACTTTTAAGTCTATCAGATGGTATTAGAATTTCCATTCAGTTAGCTTTGGAAAACACCCCTGTACGAAAACTTAAGGTTGTAGAAATCGATACAAACGGCAAGGAACCAATTATAAAATATATTCTTGATGCTGTTGAAGACCTACCACTAATAACAGGCGATTATATGTATCTTACCAATCAAGAAATAGAAGATATTCCTAATATTCACATAGAAAATGGAAAAATAACTTCACAATCGAACTGTAATATTATTATTGTGAGTGGCATACTGGAGGAAGAGAATGAAAATAACTTGACAACTATAAGTAGATGTTTGATAAATGAAGGATATGTAATTATTCGTGAAAATCCTGATTTTGATAGTGATTGTAATAGCATTTGCAACAATTTTAAAATAATTTCAAATATTCGTTTGCATGATAGTAATGAAATTTTACTTCTGCTACAAAAATTACCAGTAAATAAAGAAATAACAGAACGAATTATTGTTGAAGTTTCCATAAATGACAAAGAATTTAAATGGATTAAAGAAATACAAACAGCTTTGTCGAATAAAAATGAAGTCATTGCATATGCGTACAATGAGAATTTAAATGGTTTGTTAGGATTTCTTAATTGCCTCCGTAAAGAACCGGATGGTAATTTGGTTTCCTGTTTTTTCATACAGGATGAGTTAGCTCCCGCTTTTAGTCTTGATAATCCGTTTTACGCAAATCAATATGCTTTGAGATTAGCAGTTAATGTTTATCAAAATGTAAGTAATATAAAATTTGTTGTACTAACCACATGCTTTTTGACTAAAACATATCATATATATAGGGTCATTGGGGTTCATATAGACATTTGAAACTACTATTAAACAATGAAGCAACTATGCGACAGGACCATGTGTATGGCAACGTTTTAAATAGAGGGGACTTATCTTCCTTACGATGGTTTGAAGGACCGTCCAATCCAAAAGACTGCGATGTTAGAGTTATGTATTCTGCAATTAACTTTAGAGATGTGATGTTAGCAACAGGTCGTTTATCTCTTGAAATGGAATGGGCCAACAGACATGATTCTAACTGCGTATTAGGTTTTGAGTACTCTGGAATTAATTTACATACAGGGCGCCGTATAATGAGTATGGTACAAAATCGTGGCTTCGCATCATATGTGGAAAAATCGTCTCCACTGATATGGAATATCCCAGACCATTGGTCTTTGGAAGAAGCTGCTACAGTCCCAGTAGTGTACCTCACCGTTTATTATGCTTTCTTTATGACTTCAGATATAAGAAAAGGAAAAACAATTCTTATACACGCAGGCACAGGTGGCATTGGTCTTGCTGCAATTCGTATAGCTTTAGCTTACAACTTAGAAGTTTTTACAACATGCAGCAGTGCACAAAAAAAACAGTTCTTACTGGATAAATTTCCCCAGTTGAAAGGTATAAATTGTTTTTTTATAAAATTTCCACTATTCATACATATATTTTTTTATAGAATCACATATTGGCAACTCAAGAGATACATCATTTGAATATATGATTCAACAAGAAACAAAAGGAATGGGTGTAGATTTTGTATTAAATTCGCTTTCTGAAGATAAGCTTTTAGCTTCCATACGCTGTTTAGGTTCAGGTGGTACCTTCATGGAAATAGGCAAATTTGATATGATGAACGACTCCAAACTAGGTATGAGTAATTTTCTAAACGAAATAAAATTTCATCCTATACGTGCTGATAGATTACTATATGCTACAGAAGAAAGTGTTAAGGTAATTTTACAAAAACTAAAATATTACATTTTAAAAATTTGTTATAATATATTTCAGGACTTAAAAAGTTTAATGGATACTGACATAGAAAATGGTGTTATTATACCTTTACCTAGTACAGTATTTTCCGCAAATGAAATGGAAAAAGCTTTCCGTTATCTCGTAGGTGGCAAGCATATTGGTAAAGTGGTAATACAAATAAGGGAGAATGAGGGAGATGCCTTAACAGTTCCAATCCCTGTTCTACAACAAGTGTATTTTAATCCTCATCTTAGTTACATTATTGTAGGCGGTCTAGGTGGTTTTGGATTAGAGTTAGCTGATTGGATGGTCATTCGAGGAGCTAAAAACGTGGTACTTAGCTCTCGTCATGGTGTCAGTAAAGATTACCAGAGATACAGATTAGCGTAAGTTAAAACGTTATTATTATTATTATTATTATTTTTATTTAATTCTCCTTAATGGGTTTTTTGGTAAGTTTTGGTGGCCTAAGCCAGTACAAAATATAACACATCATCTATATATTTATTTAAACTATTTTAACTAGTATTTGATTGGTATTTTAAATTAATTAATATTTAAAAATTTGCCAGTAATATGACAGGAATCAATTATAACACTTTTCTGGATGTCATCAATAATTCGCTGGTTTAATTCCAGTCTTCGAATATGCGACAATAAACTTTTTGGCGTTACACCTTCAGCACTAATTATAATTGGAAGGATTTTAATTTTGTTTAGGTTCCAATTACGTTTTGTTTCCACAGCTAATTCTGCATATCGACTACATTTCTCAAAATAAGTCCGATCCATGTTTTTAGTCATTGGTATTGCAACATCAATGAAGACTCCTTCTCGACGTCTTTTATCAACAATAGTTATATCTGGTCTATTGTGCAACCTCGTGTGATCGGAATAAATAGTTCGATCGTAATAAATTTTTACGTCTGGATTATCATATACTGCTTGTGGTGTATACTTATAGTATGGTACATTTTCTCTATCAATAAGTCTATATTTATTGCATATTTGCTTATGTAAAATATTAACCACGTTATTGTGTCTCTTTGTGTATTCTTTTTGTGCTAAGCATGTACATCCTGCCAGTATGTGATCTACAGTTTCCGTTTGTTCTCCACATTGCCGACATTTGTCATTAATTAGCGAAGGGTCTGACATTATAAATTTGCAGTAGTTTCTTGTCGGAATTACTTGGTCCTGTATTGCAATCATGAACGCCTCAGTTTCAGCAAATAGTGTTCCACATGTAAGCCATTTGTGCGACATTATTTTATCGACATTGTCAGCGTTAGTGGATCTATAATATCTTCCATGTAGCGGTTTGATTGCCCAAGCTTGCTCTTTACACTGCCGATCTTGTGCTTTTCTTTCAAAAATTCCTTCCAAATTTAATGGTGTGTAATGCTTGTCTGCTTCGGTTAAAATTTTAAATAAGATATCATTTTCAGCATTCTTTAAAAAATATTCTCTTATTGATATAGTTTGATTGTTATGTAGTTCTTGCAGATCAATAAGGCCTCTACCTCCTTCCTTTCTAGGCAAAGTCATTCGCTCACAACATGACTTTGGATGGTGGAATTTGTATTCTGTGAGCATAGTTCGTATTTTTCGCTGCATCGCTTGTATCTCAGTCGTTGTCCATTGTATTATTCCGAAACAATAAGTCAGAATGGGAATAGCAAAAGTATTGATGGCTTTTATCAAACATTTACCCTGCAGATTCGTTTTGGCTATCTTATGAATACGTCCTTTAAATTCACTATATACTTTATCTTTTACAGCTTTGTGTGCTATTCTTCTGCTTTGAGATACACCAAGAAATTTGTACAGTTCGTCTTCTTCCATGTCTTTAATAATCGATTCGTTTTGCTCAAAATTTTCGAATTTAACGATTTTTCCACGAACAATGCTGATTTTTCTGCATTTTTCAAATCCAAACTTCATTCTAATGTCATTACTGAAGTCCTCGACTATTTTAATAAGCTTATCCAAGGTTTCTCGCGTCGAAGCATATATCTTTAAATCATCCATATACATATTCTTCTGTTCTACGCACATAATATCGTTTTGTGTAAGGTATGTATTTATAAGATCGCTAATACAAGCAGTCAGTATCTTATATATTGTTGGGAGACAAGTAATTGGACGGCCATTTGCTGGGTTTCCTTTAAATCCATTATTCTTCGCCATTAGATATGTTTTTCCTTTCGTAAAAATGATTGGAAATGTTGCAGGTTTTATAGACATTCATTTAAAAGTTCAGTTAATTTTTGATGGACTGTAGTAAATCTTTTAAACCAAAAGTTTTGTATGTGATCAGGTCCAGGAGATTTCCAGTTGTGTGTTTTTGCTATAATTCGTTTGACCAGATCACATGTAATTAGACAAGTTGACATTTTTTTTTCTTGATATTTCTCTTTCTCTTTTTTAATCCAATGAGCAGATTCATTATGTTTTTGTGTTTTGGACCACAATGAACTCCAGTAATTTTCTGCACTATTCTTAGTTGGATATACGTCGTCTGACGTATTGGCATTGGATCGTATTTTTGTATAGAATTGCTTTTCGTTGCTGCTAAAGAGTCTATTGTTTTCTCGTCTTTGATTCGACAACTTGTATTTACGCTGTCTCGCTACTTGTAAACATAGTTTCTGTTTTATAGTGTTTCTTGTGTTAATAATATTAGTGTGATTTGTTTCGTAGCGTGTGTGAAGATTGTATGTTTTTGATATCTTATTGATCCTGTTTTTAAGTCTTCTTGTAGGATTACCATCAATATACTTATTTATTCTTTCTAAGTCTCCTCTTAAATGATCAATTTTAATTTGTATTCTTCGTAGCGTATTACTCTTATTTCCATAAATTGCAGCTCTTCGTGGTCCATCTCAATTGTTATAGCTGATACATATACAATAGTATGTAATTCTTGCAAATTGCTCACATTGTTCAGTTTTATCAGGATCGCATCATTGTTAAGTGTTTCAATAAGAAAACTTAGCTTCTTACTAGTATTAATTTTCGGAATGCGTGGCCTTAAAAGAGGGTTAAGGTTACTGTAAATGTAAAATTGTTGTTCAAAAATCTCATTTAAGCTATGCTGATTACTTCTAAGTCTCATTTGTTCATTACTTACATCTTCCTGCTGATCCGTGGTTTCATCGACATCAATTAAATTTACATTTAAAGCAGGAGGTGGTTGTTCATTTTCCATTTCTATCGTATTTACATTATTACGAGTTCCTGGTACATGTACGTTTGTAGAAGTATTAGTTGATTCAAATTGCACTTGCTCATTTTCTGCAGTTTCTGTCGATTGATCATTACTTACTTCGGCAACCGATTCTTTAATAGCGTTTCGTCTTAATTCTGGTATAAGATTGTTTCTATGAATAACCCGTACTTGATCCGCTAGTCGCTGTTCCGATACATTATAGTCCGGATGGTGCCCAACGAATATTGTATGTAGTGTAGTTCGATATGCTGTCATATCTCTTTCATTGTTTGTAGCTATATAGTAGGCGCGTAATAAACCTTCATTTATAGTATTATTCCATTTTCTGCGCTGTCGTGGTATGCCAGCCACGGTGAGAGCTATATCGGAATGTATATGCTGTTCACCGGACTGCAAAGGTGTTCTATTTCTGTTGTTCTGTGACATACTTGTCGAACAGGACCCAGGTACCAAATCCTGCACGCGAGAGTTATGCGATCCCGACGCGGTGGGGTTATCCGATCTCCCCAGATTTACATTATTTTGTGACTGCATTGTGTACTATTTGTTCACACCTCGTAGTACACGGGTGGTATTTTGTACCTACTACCAGGTATATCGTCCAGCCGCTCCTAACATGGAGTCAGACACTGACCTAAAAGCCACCCATTCTGAGTTTTAGAGATTCTATATTGAGATAGAAGGGTTTTAGAGATTTTGGGGAGACACTTCTTCAAAGGCGGTGCCAGCTCGCCTTGTCGAGGTTGGATTCGAATCTTGTGATCTTTTCTTGGAGATAAAAGAGCCCCTTCGTTTACCCCAATCACATCCATAGACAGCCTCCGCTCATTGTCCGGGACTGCTTATTTAATTTTCATCTTATTCGCAGCTAACCATCATATCTGATGGCCATTCCATTATCCGCAACCTATGGACCCGTCCGCTTGTCTGAGCTCGGCATCCCACGGTACTTTCCAATTCCGTGGGGCGGATTATTATTATTATTATTATTATTATTATTATTATTATTATTATTATTATTATTATTATTATTATTATTATTATTATTATTATTATTATTATTATTATTATTATCATTATTATTATATTATTATATTACTATATTATTATTATTATTATTATTATTACTATTATTATTATCATTATTATTATATTATTATTATTATATTATTATTATTATATTATTAATATTATTATTATATTATTAAATTATTATTATTATTATTATTATTATTATTATTATTATTATTATTATTATTATTATTATTATTATTATCAATCATCACTGTATCAATTCGTATTATAATGCTGGTCATACGAATGAAGTTTGTGATGTTTTCTTAACTGCAATACATTACAAGTATCTTGAAAAACTAATGCGTACCACACGATTAACTACAGAAGCTGGTAATATCACAAATGAAGTTAAGCAAAAGCCTTACTGAAGTACTAAATACGATTAAGTTACAATTGCTAGTTACTCTATTTAATCCATTTGAGAGTAGCTACTGGAAACAGCGACTGTAGTTTAATCATATTTTGGGCATAAACTTAATTTTTATTCACAATAGCACACAGAGTGTAATAATATAAAGATAAAACTCTAAAATAATAAGAAAAATTAATGAATTAGTGATAATATTTAATATTATTTTAATTTTTAACATTTTTAGCTTGTGGAAGACTTATGGTTGTAATGTGATTGTTTCTACAGCAGATGTTTCCATTATTAATGGTTGTCATGAACTGATAAGTGAAGCTGAAAAGTTGGGACCAGTTGGTGGTATCTTTAATTTAGCCGTAGTGCTTCGAGATGCAATTTTTATTAATCAAACAGAACAAATGTTTAAAGAAAGTTTTGTACCTAAAGTGGTAGCTTCAAAACATCTTGATGAAATATCGCGTGTTAATTGTCCTAAGTTGGAATACTTTGTTGTATTTTCAAGTGTATCTTGTGGTCGAGGAAATGCAGGTCAAACTAATTATGGAATGGCCAACTCAATTATGGAACGTATCATAGAAGACCGAATAAAACAAGGATACCCTGCAAAAGCTATACAATGGGGAGCTGTTGGTGAAGTTGGTTTAGTAGCAGAAATAGCGGAAGATAAAATTGATATAGAAATTGGTGGTACTTTACAACAACGTATATCATCATGTTTGCGAGATCTTGATACTTTGTTGACTGTAACTGATGCAGTGGTTTCAAGTATGGTAGTTGCGGAAAAACATATACGCTCTGGAAATCTTAGCATAACCGAAACAGTGATGAATATAATGGGCATACGAGATCTAAAAACAATTTCTTTAGGTACTACGCTTTCAGAAATGGGTATGGATTCTCTTATGGCCGTAGAAATAAAACAAACTCTTGAAAGAGATTTTGAATTAATTTTAACACCACAAGACTTACGGTCTTTGACATTTCAAAAATTACAAGAATATTCTGACGCTCGTAATCAGGATAACACTAAGAATGTTAAAATGATTTTAGCTTCAGATATTCAACTCACAGGAATTGATATGTTACTAAGAAACCTTGGTGATGAATCGCAATGTAATGAGATCATTGTACCACTTAAAACAGCTTCTGACTTATCAAACCAAAACACATCGTCAATTATAATACCTGGATTAGAAGGTACATCGGGTCAATCTTGGTGTAAAATAGGCTCTTATTTAACTACAAAAGCAAATTTACTTCAATACCATCAATTTGCTAACATGACAAATCCTCATGATATAGCTGCAGGCCTTTTAGAGGTAAATCAATTTTTTCATCATTTTTATTTAATGCAATCAAATTATTTTTTAATAAACTTACAGCATACAAAATCTATTTTAAAAATTTCGGAACCATATTATATAATTGGTTATTCATTTGGTACTCTAATCGCCATTGAACTCGCAGCAATGCTGGAAAAAGCTGGCTATCGTGGACAAATATTATTAATTGATGGAGCTCCTCATTTTTTGAAAAAATTAACACTTGCGCGAATTGGCGAAACTATATCAGATAATGATCTCTATAATATAATAATATCTACAATTGTTCATCAAATATTTCCAGAGGAATCGCTAGAGACAACATCCTTAGTATTTATGAAGTTTAACAAACTATCAGAAAAGATGGATAAATTTATGGAATATGTAGCTAAGCAAGATATGTATTCTGAAAATTATACTAGGATTATGATAAATGCCATGTTTAATCGTATACGTATGACAGCCAAATATAATGTAGACGAAGTTAAAGACTTAAAATCTCCTATAACTCTTATACGTCCTGCTGAAGTGTCTCTTCTGGATATAGAAGATGATTACTGTCTGTCTGAGTTAACTTCTGGAAAAGTTATCATGAAAATAATTGAAGGTAACCACAGCACCATGTTAGATAATCCAATGTTACCGCAATTAATAAATGAATATCATCCTGCACGTTTAGATGATAAAGAGTTTCAAAAACATATTTTCGAAAAATGAATTAACGTATTTTTTTGAACTATACCAAAAATTAGTCTTTTTCATCAAAAAAAATATATTTTTTATGATTAATTAAATATAATTTTTAAATACGCTTTAAAGGTTGAAATTTGTTTTACTTCTATGAGCATATATATATGAAAAAGAAATACTTTTTTATGTTAATAAAATTTATACTACAGAATACATTTTTTATATTCGTTTTATTATACACAAAACTCTACATCACAAAAAAAAAAACAAAATTACAACTGTAGTATTTTTTTATATACGTAGGCATTAAATAATATAAATATATTTTATAAAATATTTAAAAAAATTTACATTATTTTAGGACATCATAAACGAATTATACGATTTATAGTTTTTATCAAATAAAAAGTTTTTATACACAGTCTGTATAAAGTTTTATACTTGCCAAAAAAAAATACAAAACGCTTTTTTCCAGTTTTTATTCAAATGAGGCCCTTGTTGAGTCAACATAGCCCTGAAAACGTTTAACAAAATTATCGAAACATTTTTTATACTTGTACAGAATTAGCTTTAGCATATCTGTCGAAACTTTTTATGTGGTCGAAGTGATATCAATTCGTCAATTTAATTTTTTATACTTATCTAAATTGGCTTTAGTACACCCATCGATACCTTATAGATGGCCAAGATTGTATTGATATAATTTTCTCAAATCAGGACTCAAATCAGGTAAATCAGTAATGATCAGTAAAAATACAATTGGAATCTGATGATACACCTTCTGCAAATCTATCTTCGAGAACACGTTTTTGCCTTGGAGAATGCACGTTACATCGTGGATGAACGGTATTGGATAACAGTTCCACTTAGGCTGCACATTGAGCATGCAATTATTGCCGTACAGTCTCCAACTTCCATCGCTCTTGCGAACCATGTGCAGCGGACTTGTCCCTCAGCAGATTGCCAAATATCTGCTTCAACTGTCCTAACAGTCTTTGTCGTTCTTCCTGGGAGATGTTAGGTGGATCTTAGGGATCGACGAATGTATCTTAGAGGAAAGGCTCTACTAGACATGGTGCCATTGGGATGTATTGCTTGGATAACAGTTGACTACGATCTTTTAAAAGAACAATATTTGATTCAGCATAAAGCTGTGTAGTGTAACACTTCAGTAACGTGAAGCGTACGAAAAACTTAAATAGCGTCATAAATAATTATTGCACTTTATAGCACATCTGGCATCTCTAATTAGTTCACAGTTCGAATTTTCGAACAGTGCAAAAGAGAGACAAAAATTGAACTAACGAATTAGTTAGATATTCATTGCAGTTCGAAGCGTTTGTTGGTTCGACTTACTTTGATGCGTGTTTGTGTTGATTTTTGTTATTAAAGTTTAATACTTGTTTTATCTCACTTTAAATTTGTGTTTCATGAATAAATTAATAAACACGACATTTGGTGACCCCAAACTTGAACGAAGTAGCAGCAGAATCTCGCAATTCAACTTTTTAACAAGCTGAAACATGACGACTGAAGGCGAGGCAGTAAGTGCAGCAATCAGCACGACCATACAGCAAGATACAACACCAGCAGAAATTTGTCGCATTGGTGTTAAGCCACCAGTATTCAGCAAACGCGACCCAGACTTATACTTCCTGCAGATGGAAGCACAATTTCGCAACGCACATATCACACAAAACCAGACTAATACGACTACCTTCTGATCAAAAAAGAACGAGAGGCCTATTTTTGAATTCCCGCCCATATTCAATCGGTGCATTTCTTTTTATTTTCATGTTGGCAACACTATTATACACATTCTGTCAAAGTTTAACGCATATCGTACGATTAGTTTTTGTTTGGCGTCTATACAAAAAGTCGAAAAATTTTCGTGTGGCAATTTTTATAATGGATCAAAAATTTAAACAACGTGTGTGCATCAAATTTTGTGTTGCAAATGGATTCAAGTGTGCCGAAACTGTTAAAAAATTTTAAAAAAGGCCTTTGGTGATTTGTATGTGTCGCACCCACGAGTATACGAACGGTTTAAAAGGTTCAAAGACGATCGTAAAAACTTGGACCATGATGAGATCCCTGGCCGCTCAACAACTTCTGTTACTGAAGAAAACATTGAATCGGCGAAGCAGATGGTGTTGGAAAATCGTTGTGAACCGATTAGAGAGATTGCAGTGTTTTTGGGCATCTTGTATGGATCGGCCGAACACATATTAACTGATGTTTTGGGTTTGAAACGCGTCGCTTCTCGGCTGATGGCAAAGAAGCTGAATTTTATTCAAAAAAAGCCTCAGTTTTTGGCCAAAAACTTGACAGCAGGAGCCATGAACGATGGCGCATTGAAACAATTTTGGCTAGATCGATTGCCCGTTGCAGTGCGAGCCGTCGTGTCCATCGCTGATGGCGACCATGACAAATGTGCACTTCAAGCTGATAAAATGATGGAAATTGAGAGTTATGGTTCCATAGCCGCAGTAGAGGGCTCAAAAATTTCTCAGTCATCGCCATCATCATCGATAGAAGAAATGCAAGCTCTAAAAGACGCCGTCTTGCAGTTGAGCAAAGACACAACAAAGTAAAAGAGCGACAGCATACAACTAGAAGATCTGGGTCTCACATTAAAACATATGGTTGTAAACTCCTAACACTGAACCTGGGGCTGAGGAAAAGTTTCTCCTGGCATTTCACTATCGCAGAGGTATCAAAACCAATACTGGGTGCCGATTTCCTTAAAAATTTTAAGTTATTGGTTGACGTCGCTAACAAGCAAATTATTGATAACCAAACGAACTTGCAGACGTTGTGCATTGCCAACAACAAGCAAATTATTGATAACCAAACGAACTTGCAGACGTTGTGCATTGCCAAAATAACAGCCTACTCTCCAGTCTCTTCAATGAATAGTGACAATAAATATCAGCTACTCTTATCCAAATTCAAAGACCTGACTTTACCACTTTCATTTAATTCGTTGGATACAACAACAACAACGGTTCAACATCACATCTACACTAGGGGACGTCCTGTCCGACAATGTACCCAAGTATGTCGCTGATAGTCAACATCACATCTACACTAGGGGACGTCCTGTCCGACAATGTACCCAAGTATGTCGCTGATAGTCCGTCAAGAATTCAAGCACATGTTAAATAAAGGAATTTGCACCCTTTTGAAGAGCGAATGGGCTAGCCCCTTAAATATGGTTCCTAAAAAGAACGGCACGTAGCGACCATGTGGGGATTATCGACGACACAACGCGCAAACGTTACCAGACCGATACCCTGTCCCGCACATCCAAGACTTTGCACAAACATTCAACGTCAAATCGATCTACACTATTATAGACATCGAGAAAACATATTTTAATATACCGATAGCTGCAGAGGACAAGAAAAAAATCGCAATCACCACACCATTTAGTCTTTTCGAATTTAACGTGATGACATTTGGACTACGCAACGCCGCACAGACGTTCCAACGTTATATGGACCAAGATCTTTCCGGTCTAGAATTCGACGTCTGCTATATCGACGATATTTGCATCGCGTCCAGCAGTAAAGAAGAACACTATCAACATGTCACTACGGTATTCCAACGCGTTCAACAGCACAGGTTAAAAATTAATGTGAGTAAATGTATTTTTGGTAATAATGAAGTCCTCCAACAGAGAAGATCAATCACATTACAAAGTTTCAGAAGCCGGTACATGCATAAGAACTACATAGATTTTTGGTCATGCTGAACTTTTATCGGCGATTTCTTCCCAACGCAGCAGTGATCAAAGGTCAGTTACAAGCTATTATTAAAGGCAACAAAAAAAATTACAAGAATCTTGTTGTCTGGACACAAGAAACCTGCATTCCGTGCCAACGTGCAAAGGTCATCAGATACAACAAAACAGCAATTGGCAGCTTCACAACGCCAAAACAACAATTCGCAGCAATCCATATCGACATAATTGGACTACTACCTACCACAAATGGATATACATACTGCTTAACCTGTATCGATCGATTAAGTAGATGGCCGGCAGCAATTCCAATCGAAGACATCCATGCTTCAACAGTTGCTACTGCACTAATTTATGGCTGGATAACACACTTCGAAGTGCCATCGCAAATCAGCAGTGATCAAGGCCGTCAATTTGAATGCCAACTTTTCAATGAGCTGGCACATACTTTAGGCGCGTTTTTGTCTGAGCATAGCAGGGGAGGCAGAATTATTGGAAACGTAAAGGAGGTGAAATTGCTGGGCGCAATACTTGGGATCAGGAAAGGTGATGGTGTTTCTAGAGATTTTTCTATTACACACAGTCAAGAATAAGAGTGACTGGTGAAAAGAATACCAAAGGGTGGGGTTGGGTAACATTGATTGGAAAAGGGCTGCCAGAAGTATACGAAGAGAGAGAGTGTTTATATAGGGGAGTTGTTGGACAACAATAATTTTTAAAAGCCGGGTTCCAATCGATATAACATAACTATGCAATCCTAAACTATTATGAAGTTGGAACCAGTTATTGCAACTATTGCACCTAACTGAAGTTCGTTTTTTGCGGGAATGTGGCAGACAGAACTGTGCCAGGCAGAATTGAGTGGCCCTTCAGGACCAGGGTTATGTTTAATCCCGACCTGGACTTGCTTCTTTGTGAGAGAAACACGTATAAATGACATATGTCAACAAGCACATACCAGCTTGTGAAGTCTTTTTGGAAAGTGTCGAACGGCACTTGGTCGTCAATAATGACGAGTGACTCTGGGAAATAGATACATCGTTCTTAGAACTATTGGCAACGCATTATAATTGTCAGGTGTATTTGTTTACAAAATTTTGTAAACTGTTTGTTTATAAAACTTAGTTGCCATGTGATCAATATCATTTCAGCGAAGAAGATCCAGATCATTGTTTGCTGAAACACGGATATTCACTCCGTTAACATGAACCTTAAAAACTTAAATACTCTAAACTGAATTTTGCTTAAAAGCACCTTTCGCTTACTAAATGTAGTTTAACATAACTTTTAGAAAGAAACATTACTTTTTAGCATATTGTAAACACCTTAAAAGCAGTTTAAGGTTTGAATTGTCAGCTATTAACTGTCAATAGGTATTTGAATTTTATTAC